GTTAGTCTTAACTTGTAATTTAGGTAACAATGCGGGCTATGGCACTTGTCATTTAGAGATAGTTCTTATACGCTATCTGCCGACAAGTTTAGAGTTTATCACTTATCTTCTAAAATGCCTAGTTGTAAAATTTTACATATTCTAGAGGAATTGTACAAAGCCTAATAAAGCTAAGGCATAACTGCCGAATTATAAAATATATATATATATATATTCTTATAAGTACATTTATTATATACTTTTTCTATATTTTATAAATACATCTTTATTCTACAACATGTATTTAATAAAGATTGAATATAGAGAATTTTGAAAATATTTTCTTATTTCAAAATAATGTATATAAGCATATTTAAAATAACATGCATATTAATTAATTAGCATACTGACAAGCATTATTTCACAATTATATAGTAGATATTTTACACCTTTTTAGGTTATTTAACTATTAAGATCTTTAGTAAAAATTTTTTTCTCTCTCAAATGATTATAATTATATATATAAAAAATATATATAATTTATTAGCTTGATATTTTGGCACTAACTCTTTGTTAAAAAAATTAAATAATAAATAATACTTCTTTTATTTTAAAAGTAATTCTGTATAATTTGCTATTATTATAATAAACTAGTATATACTTTAAAAATATATATATATTTTTTTGGTATTAAGGTGACCTTCATTGGCCTGAAGAACTTTTTATTAGAGTATAGATGGAGTTTTATATCAAACCACATATGCATCTTTTGAGTGCCTAATTTAAGTAGTCCGCCTGAAGGTCCTATACTATCTGCGTACCTGCACTCCAACTAGAGGAGTACACATTTAAACTATCTGGTTCTAACTACCTCCATCAACCCTCTAACCCAGAGGGTTTTCTCACTAAACTAAGTAAATATTAGTATCATCCCATATTGGCTTTTATACTCTGCCTTAGGACTTACTAACCCATATAGGCCTAGTCTATCCTCGAGGTAAACCTAACATAGCAGTACATGTCCCACACATGTATTCATATGCTTGTTTCTATAACTTCTTTCTAATTAGTACATATTGGCCTGCCATTCTGTATTTGTATCTCATACCACTTTTTGAGGTACTGCTGTTCTATAGACGTTTCTTAAGTACCAACCTTCTTAATTAGGTGCCCATTACATACTCCTTGCCCTTTGTTTTGGTTTCTAGCAACCCCAGTACCCTGCATTTAGACTGTCTTCTTACCTGGATTCTTTATCAGTCCCTCCCTTACTTCCAGCTAGCAACCCGGAAGGGTTGGTCTGCCTAGGCTTTAGGTGCCTGAAAGACATCCTCCTCTTGGTTCATACTTTTGGAGCATATGTTCATTTTCTCAGGTGTGACAACCCAGCATTTCGGCTAGTATGTCCTCCGCTATTAGGACCTGGTCACTTAGTTCTCTGATCTCGGGCCCAGTTCGAATTCAGCTCTCCTGTGGTACTGTTATAGATCACTACTACCTCCAAACTCGGGCTTGCCAAATGGGTTTTGGTTATTCAGGTTTCTTAGATTTATTGCACCAAAGCTCCTATAACTAGATGGTGTAACCGAGATTATAGATTTATAGATCCAACCAATAATTGACAACTATAAACTGTAGTATAGGCTATTTTTCAAAATTCGTTATCCGTAGGATTTGAACTCTAGACCTGCCACTTGGAGAGGGTAACAACTAGACCACTACACTAAGTCAGCACACCTCTACTTTAAAAATATTTGAATTTATAATATTACTAATCTTTTATATATTTTGAGAATCAAATTTACTTCTATAGCTATGAAACTTATATTTTTAATATTAAAATAAATTAATTATTTGAAATAAATTAAAAATACAAGTTTTATATAAAAAAAAATTAACCAGATAAACTTAAAGTACCTACAAAATTATATATATGATTCTCAAAATTTATATATATAATGTTACTAGTTTTAATATTAATAGACAGAGTTAAATATTTGTTTAAAGTTAGAAATATAATTTTGATTATTAATTTTATAACAAAATTGTTATAAAAAATCTTTAATATTAAACAGAAAAATAGATAACAAATTATTTATCTATTAAATCTAAAATGTTTATAAACTTTCAACTAAACTCAAATCAAACTATTAGTTTTGTTGGAGTTTGGTTTGAGTTTAGATAATAAAATTTAGTTCTAGTTTGAGTTTGAAAATCTGTGAAATTTATAACTCAAGTCTGGGTTTGATTAAACTCAAATTCAAACTTCTTCAAACTCAATTTAAATCTAGAAACACTATATTTTAATAATATCATTATTAATTTTTATTCAAAATGTTATAGCAATAGCTAAAATTATAGTATAATACTTGTGCACTATTTGGATTACTATGAAATAATATCTCAATTAATGCTTAAGAATACTTTTAATAAAAAATAGCAGACAATTTATAATTTTTTTAAAATAGAATAACTTAAAGAGCAGCAAAAATTTTTAATATATAAGATTATATTTATAAACAAATTTAATATAAATATAAAAAAATAGTTTATTCAATATTGTAATTATTGCTAACTAAATAAAATAAGAAATCAAATTAAAAGTAAAAAATACTATTTATTTTTGCAATAATAGAAATAAAAAATAAATTTTTAGTTAGATAAGGCTTCATATAATCAAAAATATATAGCTTATTTTTTAAGTAAAAAATAAGTGTTATTATTTATTTTTATAATATTATAATAGTAAGTTTTGAATTTAGATATGTTTGCAAACTTCAAAATAGAATTAAACTAAACTCAAACTATGGCAAAAGTTTGATATTCTAATTTAGACCAAACTAAGTTTTAAAATAGTTTGAGTTCAAGTCTAGTTTAAATTTTTTAGATTAAACTCAGATTTGGCTAAAGTCTAGTTTAGTTTAAATTTATTAGAATTTTAAATAAACTACTTAAATTAGATACCAAAAGTGTATATATAGCTAGTATATATTTGTTATAATTATAATCATTAATTTGATACTTAATAAAAGTTTTTATAGCTATAGAGATTACTTTAATATTAAAAAAAATTAATAAAAACACCAAATTCATATTTTTGTACTCTTAATAAATCTTTTATATTTCTTTAAATTTTTTACAATTTAACAAATAGCTTTTTTAATTATATTTTTTGATAGCGTTGTTTGATTATATAAATACTATTAAAAAAGGAAATTATTTTTTATACTCTCTAATTATTATTCGCACCCTTCTAACTTAATTTTCTGATTTTACATGATCACGTGAAATGATCTTTGTAATCTAACTTGTGATTGGACGACATCACTGCACAAGATATGTATTGCATATAGTATGTGTAATATCTAATAAACTTTAACTAAACTGATTATCACACCAATAGAATATACTGCAACATAAAAAGTAAAAAGTGCATATTCACATTTCGATTCTGTTTTTATTGTTTTATACAAAACAATATAAGTTTCTACAACATTTTAATTGAATAAACTACTTTAGACTAAGAGTGTTCTTAAGCACTTCACTTAGTAGATTGGAAGTAAATTTTTAATTAGTCTAAAAAATTTTTACTATTAATCAAATTCACTCAAATATTATTTTTATATTTTTTACATATCAAACATAATAAACAATGAATTCCCTTCCAAATCCAAAAAATTGTTATTTTATTTTCAATGCTAGAAATATTTAAAACAAATAATCAATACTTGATTTGAATGTAATAAATACAATCTATCTTTTAAGCTCTAACCAAACAATAATGAATACTGCTATTCTGTTTTTGTTTATTTAAATTTAAAAGCTTAGTAAAAAAGACCAAACAGAAGAGTTTTGAGTAAATGTTTTTATCTATTTGACGGATAATAAAAATGTACCAAAATTTTAAATTTGGTAAAATCATTAAAAGGTGCTCAAAAAAATTTTTTTTTGTTAGTTTTTTTTAAGTGTCTTAATAAAGATTACAAGTTTCAGAAATTTTCAACTCGAATGACAAAAAAAGTATACATACCCTTGGCTGTTAGTTAAATTGGCAATGCCGACTATAATTAAACTGAAATAATTAAATAAATATAAACTAGTGTCTCGAGTAACAATGTAGCCCAGTTCAGAACACTAGTAAAAATAAAAATACGGTTAGAAATAAGTATTTATAAAAGTAAATTAAGGAAATAATAAATAATAAAATAGCATAACTGTGGTAATGTGAAAAGGCAAATGAGCTGTAAAATGCATATAATGAATATGCATGATTTTGGGATAGGTTGTATCAATGCGTTTAAAGAATATAGCATAGGCTGTGGCAATGCATATGAATAGACAATAAATCTAGAGATTCAATACATGACAATGAATTTAAAAGCACAGTTTTGGGAATAAGCTGTGGCAATGCATGTGAAAAGATTTGTTGACTTGATCCTAATTGAAGTCATAACAATTGACTGCCAAAAATGCTGATTATTGTTAGCATTCTGCATTTAGCATAATTGCATTAGCTATAATTTAGTAATTTAACGTATATATTGGTAAATATTGAAAATATTCAGCAGCAAATTAATATAGTTTTAACTATGATAAACTTATTAGTAGCAGTGAATATCAGGATAAGAATTTTAAAAGACATTATGAAATAGGTTTGGTAATATGTGTAAAAATAAACAATAAATTTTAGAGATCATAGTTGTGATAATATTTGAAGAATTGTAAAAATGAATTTAATAAATTATAATTTATGCAAAATAAAAAAGAGAGATAATGAAATACTTCTATCATATCAAAGCCCCAAAATAAATTATATTACCGGAAAGTTATAGAAGTTTTTTTATAAAGTGTATCTGAAATATAAGAGGAACATTGAGTTAATAAACTCATTGTTGAGTTCTCTTTGCCTTTATCCCAAGCAAAATAAATATTAAATTGAGTTTTAAAATCTGAACCAAATAATAAAGACCAATTGTACCATATTTACCACTGAACTGGTCTATTATTTCTACTAAGTAAACATGCTTCTACTACCACCTAGTGTATACAATAGTGCTGATGAACTTTTTCAAAGTGTACAAAAGTTCATCAATTCCCAAGGGTATGCTCTGGTAAAAAAAAAAATCCGTACAAACAAGAATAGTGAATTAAAAAATATGATATTACATTGTGACCAAGGTGGTATTTATCATGATTCTTTAAATTTGAATAAAGAATGTCCTAGCCAAAAAAGCACCAGATTAATTGACTACTCTTTTGAGTTGAAAGGTTCTCGACAAAATAGCCAATGGCATTTTGAAGCTCTTAATGCATCCTACAACCATGACCCTTCACAAGACATGTCAGGTCATCCTATTGTTTGTAGACTTGCAAAGCAACATAAGAATAGTATTGAGGCGATGACTATTGCTAGTTCTTATCCAAAAGAAATTATAACAGCTCTTCAGTAAAATGATCTATAAATATTAATTACTAATAGTGATATTTATAATATACATGCAAAGCTTCGACAACAAAACTTGGCAGGTCATACTCCTATACAGATTCTAGTAAACGAACTTCAAAAAGGAAATTTTTTATATGAATACAAATGTGATGATACTAGTTTTATTATTTATCTCTTTTTTTCACATAGTGAATCTATTTCTCTTACCCATCAATATTCCTCTGTACTCCTTATAGATTATACCTATAAAACCAACAAGTTTAAAATGCTTTTGCTAAATATTATAGGTATAACTGGATTTAGTACAACCTTTTATTCTTGTTTTGTTTTCATGAAAGGTGAGGATGAAGAGAATTATAAGTGGGCTCTAACACATGTTTTGTGCTTGTTTGATGGAGTAGAGAAGCCCGGTGTTATTGTAACTGATAGAGAGCTTGCCCTTATGAATGTTTTTAGTGTAATATTTCCTAGTTCAACAAATTTACTTTGTGTATATCATATAAGTAAGAATGTTTTAAAAAATTGTAAGCTGCTATTCTCAAAAGAGATAAATAATAAGGAAAGTACTAAATAGCAAGGTTTTTTTGTAAGATGGAATGATATTGTTCAATCAAATACAGAAAATGAATTTAATACAAAGTAGAGGGATTTTTGCTCTACTTAGGCTAATAAGTTCACTGCTATTATTTATCTTGAAAAACCTGAATAATTTGGAAAAAAAAATTTATCAAAGCATGGACTAACAAATTGTTTTACTTGGAAACAACAGCGACTTTCCAAATTAAAGGATCACATGCTACTCTTAAGGCTTACTTGCAAGAATCTACAGGAGATCTTCACTGAGTTTATATAGCAATATTACTAGTGGTAACTAATTAGAAAAAAGAGCTAGAGACTATGATTGCATCAGAATATATTTGTATTCTAGTTTTTGCTACCAATAATATTTTATACATGAATATTAAAGGCAAAATTTTATTCTTCGCTCTCAAAAAAATAAATAATCAATATAAAAAAATAAAAAATACTACTGCACAAGAACCCCTACCACTATGTACCAAATCTTTTACAAGAACAATGAGCTTATTTTGTGCTCATATTATTCAACAATTTAGAGATAATCAAAGTCTTATGCTTGATAATATTCATAAGCATTAGTAGATTCCAGAACACCTACAAGTATTACAAATTGAAGAAAATACTTTTCACCATGAAGACACATTGCAACCTCTTTTGCAAGACCTAGAACAAAAATACTACAAGTGGCCAGAATTTTAACAGTCAGTAGCACAGCTAATATTAAAAAACATAATTGATACTCCTCCACTTGCATTGCAAAATTCCCAAGTAGTTATTACAAAAGGACGTTCTTTAGATATCTCTAATAAGCAAACCAATTTAACCAGAAGAGATCTTTTTGGTTTTGAGTTAGTAGATCATTAAGAAAAGCATTGTACTATTTGTCGACAACCTGGACACAATGCTTGTACTTGCCTAAATAAAAATAATAATTCAGTGTAAATATTTGGTTTTTGATATATATGCTATAATACTATTTGATATTTGTCTTTTAAATATATCTTCTTTTTAGTTGGCATTTTTTTTTTAATATATATATTTAAATACAGAAACTAGCTTCATAAAATATATTTAAAAACTGTGTCGGATTTAAAAATAAAAAATTCAAAACTTTTTATATAAAGAGACATATAAATGTTCTTAGCTATTAGAATAGTCAAATAATAAAATATTGTGAACATATTATCTTTTTGTTTTAACCAATCACGAAATCAGTATAAAGTACAGAATTTCTGTATTTAAATTTAATGCGAAAGATAAAGCAAAAGCTTTGATTAAGGTTTGTTAGATATTACACATACTACAGCAATGCATATTTTATAAAGTGATGTCGTTCAATCACAAGTTAAATTACAAAGATCATTTCACGTAATCACATGAAAATCGAGAAATTATGTTAGGGGTACGAATAATAAATTAGAGGGGTATAAAAAATAATTTCCTTAAAAAAACTCACAATTAGTATATAGTTAATTATTTGTATACTGTCTATAAATATACTATAAATAGCATATAGATAACTAATTAAATAAATATACTTAAAAATAAATTGTAGGTTTTTTTATATTTATCAAGTTCAACAATATTTAAAAATTTAACCAAATATTTTTTAATAGGGGCTTCTATAAATGTATAATATTATTACTACAATAATTTGTAGATATGTATTATATTTAAAATTATTTTGTTTTAGGTCTGGCTAAATAATTTGCAAATTTGACCAGAAAATTTGAATAATAAGTTTTTTTATTTGTTTGATAATGTAGATCTATTAATATAGTCTATGTTAGTTAATTATTAATTATTATTTTTATTAGCTAAAATCTGATATTAACTACAATTTTGGTTAGCTAGCTAAGCTATTAGTTAGCTAAATATTAATAACAACTAATAGTTATTTATAGATAACTATAGTTATAACTAGTATTATAAACTGAGCTAGCTTAATTTGGCTTGTCAAAATGAGAGTTTGGCTCAATTTTGGCTTTAAAGGATTGTGAACTAGTTTACAAAAGCATAGCAGAAGTTCATTTTAATTGGCTAAAATTTTAATAAATATAATTGGCAATGATCATTTATTTATACAGTCAATTGTAAATTTTAAAATACTTCTATTAGTAAAAATCGTTATGCTATATTAAATTTTTTTTTGTAATATATGACGAAACAACAAACTTAAGCAATCTATTTTTTATCTTTAAACCTACAGTTTTTTAATGAGAAATACAGTAAAATATGGAAATTTAAGAAACTAGATGAAAAGTGAATATTTTAAAAAGTCAGGAAGGTAGTTCAGTGATCTAAGCAACTAGTAAGTAAAATTGTGAGATTCTGCTTCAACTAGTTTGTTTGTGTTTTTTACAAGTGAAAGTATTATTTTGAACTATTATTCTAAACTGTATTTTAATATTTTTTATTATAATTTATTTAGATACAGATATAATTTGTGAATATAGCATTTATAATACAATAAGTTATAGTAGTAGTAGTGTTAGAAATAGTCATGTACACGTTATTTAGTAGACATTTATATGTATTTATTGCAAAAAAACAACAAAACTCTTGCAAAATCCAAATTAAAGTTGTTAATACAAAACTGAATTAGTATATTGTAAAATTATAATATGTCTTTAAAGTGTATTGACTAATTTTTTAAAAGTTTGCAAGTTATAAAATTTTTGTCTGGGATTAGCCGGTACTCTATCTAGGATATGATCAATATTTTTTTTGAGATATCTTAACAACTAATCAAAACGAACTTCTGCTATGCTATTTACAAATTATGTAATAATTTATACTAATAATTTACAATTACATCACCAAAATTTGCAAGGGGATTACTATCGATGTTAATCGGTTATTGGATAGTAATCGATATAAATACCCCCTGACGATGACTATCGAGTTAGTTAGTAATCGATATATA